AAAAAAAAAAAAATAAATAAAATAAAAATAAAAATAAAAAAATAAAAAATAAAAAAAATAAATAAAAATAAAGCCGGGCAACAGTAAGACTCAGTCTCAAAAAAATAACATAATAATAATAAAAATAAAAAATTAACCAAGCGTGGTGGCAGGTGCCTATAATCCCAACTACTTGGGAAGTTGAGGCAGGAGAATCACTTGAACCTGAGAGGCAGAAGTTGCAGTGAGCAGAGACCATACCATTATACTCCAGCCTGGGTTAACAAGAGCAAAACTCCATTGCAACAACAACAAAAAAAATGGCCCAGCATGGTGGCTGACGCCTGTACTCACAACACTTTGGGAAACCTGAGGTCAGGAGTTCCAGATCAGCCTGCCCAACACGGCAAAACCTCATCTCTATTTTTCTTTTTTTTTTTTTTTTTCCAAGACAAAGTCTCCCTCTGTCACCCAGGCTGAAGTGCAGTGGCCTGATCTTGGCTCTCTTCAACCTCTGTCTCCTGGGTTCAAGCAATTCTCTGCCTCAGCCTCCCAAGTAGCTGGGATTACAGGCGCCGGCCACCATATCCAGCTAATTTTTGTATTTTTAGTAGATACATTGTTTCACCATCTTGGCCAGGCGGCTCTTAAACGCCTGACCTCGTGATCCAACTGCCTGAACCTTCCAAAGTGCTGGGATTACAGGCACGAGCCACCGCACCCAGCCACCTCTTCATCTCTACTAAAAATACAAACTTAGCCAGGCATGGTGACACACACCTGCAGTCCCAGCTACTTGGGAGGCTGAGGCAGGAAAATCACTTGAACTCCAGGAGGCAGAGTTTGCAGTTAGCCGAGATTGTGCCACTGTACACCAGCCTGAGCGACAGAGCAACACTCCATCTCAAATTAAAAAAAAAAAAAAGACGGCAGGCAGGGTGGCTCACACCTGTAATCCCAGCACTTTGGGAGGCCAAGGGGGTGGCTCACGAGATCAAGAGATTGAGACCAGGGCCAGGCGCGGTGGTTCACGCCTGTAATCCAAGCACTTTGGAGGCCAAGGCGGGCAGATCACCTGAGGTCGGGAGTTCAAGACCAGCCTGACCAATATGGTGAAACCCCATCTTAAATAAATAAATAAATAAAAAGAGAGATTGAGACCATCCTGGCTAACAAGGTGAAACCCCGTCTTTAAAAAATAAATAAATAAATAGAGAGATTGAGACTATCCTGGCTAACAAGGTGAAACCCTGTCTCTACTAAAAATACAAAAATCAGCTGGGTGCGGTGGTGCACGCCTGTAGTTCCAGCTACTTGGAAGGCTGAGGTAGGAGAATCGCTTAAACCCAGGAGGCGGAGGTTGCAGTGAACTGAGATCATGCCACTGTACTCCAGCTTGGTGACAGAGCAAGACTTTGTCTCAAAAAAAGAAAGAAAAGAAGCCGGGCGCGGTGGCTCAAGCCTGTAATCCCAGCACTTTGGGAGGCCGAGGCGGGTGGATCACGAGGTCAAGAGATCGAGACCATCCTGGTCAACATGGTGAAACCCCGTCTCTACTAAAAATACAAAAAACAAGCTGGGCATGGTTGTGTGTGCCTGTAATCCCAGCTACTCAGGAGGCTGAGGCAGGAGAATTGACTGAACCCAGGAGGCGGAGGTTGCGGTGAGCCGAGATCGCGCCATTGCACTCCAGCCTGGGTAACAAGAGCAACCCCCCAAAAAAAAAAAAAAAAAAGAAAGAAAAGAAAAAGAAGCCCTGGGATAGACTGAGGTAGGAGAATCGCTTAAACCCAGGAGGCGGAGGTTAAGTATAGATTCTGAAAAATCTTTGCCCCAGAAAATAAACTTGTTCCCGAGAAAAATAACTTCTGACCAGTCTCAAAACCTAGCTGTGAGGCCGGGTACAGGGTAATCCCAGCATTTTGGGAGGCCAAGGCAAGTGGATCACAAGGTCAGGTTCGAGACCAGTTTGGCCAACATACTGAAACCCCATCTCTACTAAAAACACAAAAAATTAGCTGGGTGTGGTGGTGCATGCCTGTAATCCCAGCTACTCGGGAGGCTGAGGCAGGAGAATCATGTAAACCTGGGAGGCGGAGCTTGCAGTAAACTGAGATCACACCATTATAACTACAGCCCAGCTGACAGTGTAGACACCCTCTCAAAAAGAAAAAAAACCTAGCTGTGAAGAACAGCACTGTCTGTCAAAATCAAGGAATATCAATGTTATTTGCTCACCTTAGCTGCTGTACAAGCTCTGGACAGCTCTGAAATCAAAAAAAATTATATTAAAACTACTTTAGCACATTTGAAGATATCAAAAGCCTTTCTCTTTTTCTATAGCACATGCTTTACAATAAAATCATTAAAACTACAGATGGTCCTCATATTAAAATATTTTAAGCTTGTTCTTCCTACTTAGTGAACCACAGGATTAGGGTGAAAAACTTAAAGTCAAAGCATATGAAATAGTTTTTAAAGGAATCAACTCTCAGTAGCTTGCTTAAAACATTAGGAACTCTGTAATGCCATACATGGAATTTATATCAAATTGTCTGGCTACACGCATTTTACATTCATCTCTATTATACAATTTTTCAGAATATCTGTCCTTGATTATAATTTCTTTGAAGGTAGGAACCCTGAGTCATTTATTTCTGTATCCCCACCACCTATTGTTCAATTGCGGCTCATGTTTGTTGATATGAAATTAAAAGGGTTCCTGCCAGGCGCAGTGGCTCAGGCCTGTAATCCAAGCACTTCGGGAGGCTGAGGTGGGCAGATCACTTGAGGTCAGGAGTTCAAGCCCAGCCTGACCAACATAGGGAAACCCCGTCTCTACTAAAAATATGAAAATTAGCCAGGCATGGTGGCACGCACCTGTAATCCCAGCTACTCGGGAGGCTGAGGCAGGAGAATAGCTTGAATCCAGGAGGCGAAGATTGCAGTGAGCCGAGATCATGCCACTGCAATCCAGCCTGGGTGACAGAACGAGACTGTGCCTCAAAGGAAAAAAAAAAAGAAAGAAAGAAAAAGAAAAGGGTTCCTATGGTGTTTCCACTTGTCAAAGCCCTTGGATAATATCAGGGATGGGATGCATGTTTTCTAAATTCCATTCTATAGCTGTTGATTTTGTAGCCCATCACATCATCTCTACAGTGGCTCATGAAAAAAACCTAAACCCAAGCTATATAAACCCCAACAATTAATTTTAAAATTAATGTCCCTAAGTAAACCCCACAGATTCCAGTGAAATATCAACACATACCACAGGATTCTCCCCATGGTGAGCCACTTTTACATCACAAAGCTGTCCTGCAGGATCTAACTGCACTTCCACATAGAACATATCTGACGTGATGTAACATTCAGTGCCACTGGCACTGAGATGAGAGCCCAGTCTAGCAGGAACAAATCAAAACAAAAATTAATAGAAGACACATAAATAAAGCCACCCAAAGTTAACACCAAGTTAAACATTTCTGCCTACAGAAAGACTACTTACCCATTCTGTCTTGCTATGGACTCCAAACGATCAGTCATTGCTGGTAAAGATGTTACTATGAAAGGATGAAAAAAGGAAGTCACAAGAATGCTCCAAATAACTTAAATGATATTCTTCAAAGACAAAAAGATCCAACCTTCCAAAGCCATAAACATATTCAGAGTTCAAATGTTTGTAATTGACACAAAGTTCATTGGTAAGGCTTAGCTGTGGCCTATGCAGCACTAAAGGTCAAAAAAAAAGATCTATTTGAAAAATTACTTAATCTTTCTCCACTCCTGTTTCCATTACTCATTATGTGGAACAAGTTGCCTTTAACTTAAGATACATTTATCTGCTAATCACAGAACAAGGAAGATTAACATAAAAATGAACATAAAAACAAATACTCATCATTAACAACAGCATTAATCACAACAGTCAACAGGTTAAAACAACCCAAATGTCCACTAGCAGATGAATGTATAAACAAAATGTATATACAGAGAAGTCTTTTTCAACCTTAAAAAAAAGAAATTTTTTTTCCCAGACAGGATTAAGGCTGTTGAAAAAAAAAAGAAATTCTAACAAATGCTTCAATATGGATGAACCTTGAAAACATTATGCTAAGCAAAATAAGCTAGTCACAAAAGGGCAAATATTGTATGATTCCACTTATATCCGGTATACAGAGTAGTCAAATTCATAAAGACAGAAAATAAAACGGTGGCTGCCAGGGACTAGGGGAAGGCAGGAAGGAAACATCACTTGTAGAATGTAAGATTGGGAAGATGAATAAAGTTTTAGAGATGGACAGTGGTGATGATGATACAATATGAATGTACTTAATGCTACTGAACTATACTCTAAGAAACAGTTAAAATAGTAAATGTTATGTATATTTTACCACAATTAAAAAAGAAAAAATACACCAGGTACAGTGGCTCACACCTGTAATCCCAGCACTTTGGGAGGCCAAGGCAGGCAGATCACAAGGTCAGGAGTTCAAGACCAGCCTAACCAACATGCTGAAACCCCCTCTCTACTGAAAATAGAAAAATTAGCTTGGCGTGGGGCTGTGCCCCTGTAATACCAGCTACTCGGGAGGCTGAGGCAGGAGAATAGCTTGAACCCAGGAGACGGTGATTGAAGTCAGCCAAGATGGCGCCACTGCACTCTAGCCTGGGGGACAGAATGCGACTCCAAAAAAAAAAAAAAAAAAAGGCTGGACACGGTGGCTCAAGCCTGTAATCCCAGCACTTTGGAAGGCCGAGGCGGGTGGATCACGAGGTCAAGAGATCAAGACCATCCTGGTCAACATGGTGAAACCCTGTCTCTACTAAAAATACAAAACATTAGCTGGGCATGGTGGCGCTTGCCTGTAATCCCAGCTACTGAGGAGGTTGAGACAGGAGAATTGCCTGAACCCAGGAGGCGGAGGTTACGGTGAGCCGAGATCGCGCCATTGCACTCCAGCCTGGGTAACAAGAGTGAAACTCCGTCTCAAAAAAAAAAAAAAAAAAAAAAAAGATGGGGTTTCATCATGATGGCCAGGCTGGTCTTGAACTCCTGACGTCAGGTGATCCACCTACCTCAGCCTCCCAAAGTGCTAGGATTACAGGTGTGAGCCACCATGCCCGGCCTTTCTTATGGAGATTAATCAAAAAAGAACATGTGAAGGGCCAGGGCGGTGGCTCACACCTATAATCCCAGCATTCTGGGAGGCTGAGGCAGGCGGATCACCTGAGATCAGGAGTTTGAGACCAGCCTGATCAACATGGTTAAACCCCATCTCTACTAAAAACACACACAAAAAATTAGCTGGGCGTAGTGATGGGCACCTATAATCACTCAGGAGGCTGAGGCAGAAAAATCGCTTGAACCCAAGAGGAGGAGGTTGCAGTGAGCCGAGATCGCACCATTGCACTCCAGCCTGGGCAACATACAGAGACTCCATCTCAAAAAAAAAAAATGTGAAGAAAGAAAAGAACTTTCCCCAGGTATCTTTATTACCCTTCATCATTTATCTTTTAAATTTACCTTTTAAACCTCTTAGCCTCCAAAACAGGATCGAAAACAAATGTTTCAAGCTTTAGCAAAAAGCTCATTCCAATTCCATAAATGAAAGCAACAGCAACAACTAGTATATAAAGTTGACCTACCTCAATTTATATTTCTAGTCTAAAATAGTCCTTCTTAAACTGGGGGTTATATGAAATCAGCATATTTCAAGTGTTTACAAACCTTTGAGAGCCTTCTGCAGTGTCTCCAAACAGCTGATCAAATGCTGATGCCCTCCAGAACTCATCACAACCCTCTTCTCCTGTGTCAAGTGGGAAAACATTTGAGGTGAAAATTAAGCAAGCCAACAGTGTTTTGGGTAAACATACACATTATCCCAGTAGTAATATTTTAGGATAGTCTATAGATGCTATATAGTGTACAGACTTTGTAGACTATCCACAGCAAGAAAAATCCATATATATGAGTGTAGAAAAAGGTATTGTTCAGCCAGGCACATGGCTCATGCCAGTAATTCTAGCACATTGGGAGGCCAGGGCTGGAGAGAATCACTTGAGCCCAGGAGTTTGAGACTGGCCAAGGCAAGATAGAGATCCTGTCTCTATTTAGTTAAAAACAAAAAAGAAAAAGAAAAACGTATTTCCAGATCTACAAGAAGAAAACAAAATGTAACAGATGAGATCTGCCTCCTGTGGAAAGGACTACATTCTAAGATATAAACAGTTAAATGAGATGGCTCATGAGATTTGGTAGTGTACAAATTTAACAAGGTGATTTGCACGTAATCTGAGAAATGCAACCAAATTTTAGGAAAACAAGATTGACTCTTTTTTTTTTTTTTTTTTTTTTTTTTTT